GAACTCAATTCTCACAGCCATTCCAGCAGCTGGAAGCCCTGCCAAATGCTACAATTGACACAGAGAGGTCAAGAGGCTGAGGCAACAATTGCTCATAGAGGAGTCACATCTTATTCTTGCCTCATAGCCACAGACATAGAAAACCTCTCGGAAGCAAATCTACAGTTTACTGATTGTTAACTACCTGCTTCTGCTGCCTGAAGTTAGAGACAAGCCTGAGTGGAAAAACAAGGCTAATCCATAAGGGAATTCTGGAAGACCTAGAATACCAGATGGACAACAGTGTTGTGGCATCCCAAGTCTAATATACATGGAAAATGAGTCTTGGTGATTTGAGGTACGAGAAAATCACAGTAGTATTGGTGTAGGAATACTCTTAGAGCTTTGAGGGAAATGAAACAGTGATTTTCACACAAGCTCTGCTGCTTTTCCACATGCCTGTGTCTTATGCCAGCAACACGGATGCTCGAAAGGTCCTTTGCAGTAAGGGTCTACACCTTCAACAGAACTCAGGCTGTGGAAGAAACAGAATCATAGAATGGTTTGGGTTGGAAGGGTCCTTAAAGGTCATCTAGTTCCACTCACCCTGCCATGGGCAGGGACACCTTGCCCTAGCTCTAGTTTGAGGTGACTAGACAACTGAAATCTAGGTTCCTCACTTGAATCAGATGTATCATCTGCACATCAGGTGTGTGCCTGAGAGCCTGCAGACCCAGCATAAATGGCAAGTGAAAAATTCAGGGTATCTCAATTTGGGTGCTATACTCCACCTGGTGAATAACTATCAGAAAGAGGTCATAAAAATGCAGTAATATTTATAGGGGTCAGGTAGCATTCTGAAGGGGCATTCTGGCTGTCTGTATATATGACTCTACTGCATATTTATAGGGCTTGGTTTGAATCACACGGTATGAATTTGAACATTTATCGTTGTAGGCAATAATCATGTGTTGAAATTTAATATGTGTGGTGAAATTACAATGTCTTCCAAACTATATAACGTGCCAGACACAAGCCCCCCGGACACAGTGATTTCTAGGAATGACAGCAGTCTCTTGGTATCAGGTCAAACATTTAAATTTTTTTGAAATTATGGAGTCACAATAGTTAGAATAGGAAAGGACCCATTAGACCCAGTTCACCCCGCCGGCAGTGCAGCGTGCTGTGCAATGAGAGGGGTCACATCTCCCATAACACTGAAAGAAACAGATACTGTATTGTTGGGATATTGTATTGGTGTTTGATCTTAACTAAAAGGTCAAGAACAAGCAAAGGGGGAAAAGAATATTTGAATATAAATGCATGCTTTTAATAATTATTGAGGGTTTGAGGGTTGTTTTTTTTTTTTTTTCACTAGAGACATCAGTGAAAAGATAGCCTCCCTGCAAAGCCCCTGGGAGCCTGCAAAATCTGATACAGTTCTAACTTCCCCCATGCAGAGTTACATGGTCACTGATTTTAACATTCAAAAGATAGCAGTCAGCACCCATTACATACCCTTCAAGCTGCATTGGAGATGTGTGACCTAATCCTAGATACATACATGAAAGTCAGAAAGAACACAGAAAGCCCCAGGGGCTCTTCCAAAGCTGAAATTCCTGCATCACTCAGAAATTCAGGCCTGTGTATTTAAGAGGAAAACTGAGCCTTAAACGTGGAAGCCTCTCTCTGGCATTACCATAAACTAATTTATTTGGTGAACAGCCTGTAAAGAAAGGGGAACTGGAAACCTGAGAGCCCTTTGTAGGTACAAAGTCCATATCTCCAGACAGCAGATCAGTCTGTGCGTGCTGAGAAGCCACATTGTACATGCAGGTGTAACAGGTTCCTTGAAGCAGGATTTTTCTTTGCATGAATATCAGGTTAAACCAGAAGGAGATGAAAAGGTACCCTTAGTTTCTTGCTACTACTTCTACTGCAAGCTGCAGTCTGTGTGCTCTAAAACCTTATAGCGGCACAGGGAACACATCTCCTGTTTGCAGAACTGAAAGAAGGGGGAACTTCTCCTGAATGTCAGAGACACCACCAGACTCCCCAGAATTCCCATTACTTCACTGTGGCATAGGTCCTGTGTGCATTTGGGGCCAAGGTGACATGTCTGTGTCCATCTCAAGAACCTCTGAGTCTCATCAATTCAAAAATGGTCAATATTTCTCTGCTTTGAGCCCAAACTGAATTTCAGGCAAGTTCAAAGACATTTTATATTATAGTTTTCCTGAAAACTCTCATCCTTTTCTTACGCACAGTACAAAAACACAGTCATCATGGTCTTTTCTTAAGCACAATACATTAACGCAATCATCATGGAAAAATTCTTTCCTTTGCTTTCAAGACATCATTTGTAGCGTTTCAAACTGTCTAAGCTACAGCCAAGAGAGCTGCTCTTTCCAGAGATCTGAGCACAAGGTATGGAGGTGAATAGCCACAGAGGAAAATAACTTCTGTTCTGGCAGTTGTATATACCTTCAATGCAAATTCATGGACAACAGCAATGCACAAGGTGGCCCTTCTGCATCTCCACACTTGCTCCTGAAGAAATACAGTGATGGAGGAATAGCCCTACAGTTCATCTCAGAGCCCAGCCAGGTGGGCCCTCCATATTAGCATGAGAATTTTTCCGACGTGTTCCCAAATCGCGTGATCCCATGAAGCTGTATTCATACCTGATGAGAACCAGAGTAGCCTTTAAGAGAGAGACAGACCTACCATACTCCCCTATTGCCCTATTTTCAGAAAGAAATCTATCCAGCTATGATGTAAAAATTCCCTCTAGGAAACACCAAGATGAGAATAACATGTTTATTAATGTAGTTGTTCTGGGCACAAAACTGCTCCAAAAAAGAAGGGAAGTCCTCTGCTGTGATTCTGCTTTATTCCATCTTATTCCTTTGGCCAAGCTAACAGGGCTTCAAGACCTCATCATACCAGGGGATTCTAACTGTTTTCCTTCTCAGTTTGTTCAGATTTTACTTTCCGACTGCATCTGATTGAAAGAGCATATGGATTTCACAAATTGGAAGAGTTTCCTTCCTCATTTTCTTAAGCTCCTAAAATTCATAATTTCCCATAGAACAATCACTTAAGAAATTACTATTGCAATTTGTCGCTAACGGAACTTGCAGAACTGAAGCAAAAGAATTTAAGATTAGCTCAGTTTTCAAATTGGTTTTCTCATGAGAAGATTCCTTAAATTACTTAATCTTCAAACTCTTAGTGATAAAACAAATGTGCTCTTATCTAATCTGCAACAAATCTTTCCCAAACTGTTACTCTGCCAACTGAGGAACATGCTACCCTTTAAAAATTTATAACAACTGCAGCTAATAAAACCAGAGTTTGGAACCACCTCAGTTTATCTTTGCTGGAACAATATGAAGATGTCAGAAAGCTCTTTGTCACATTCAGAAGAAAATTGCACTGCAGCACAAGACTAGAGGATTTTCCTCTTGCTTATGCAGTACTACTTTATTACGTATAGAGATTCAGATTTTTCAAATATTGTGATTTCAATTTACAAACTGAGATATACTCTCAGAAATCTTCTGAAAAAAAAATCAGATACTAATGTAGGCCACAAATAATAATTCGAACTGAGTATCTACCTTTGTAACAAGTTCCACTGCCTTCTAATAAAGCTCTTGTCACCATCTCAGCCCACACTCCAGTTATGTGACTTTCCTTAGCTGGGAAAGGCAAAGACTGATATATTTGTAAAAAAGCTTTGATTAACTCAGAATTTGGGATATCTTTGATGCATCTTTTTATCGTTAGCCCTATTCGATCTGTTAACAGTAAAATATTTTTCTCTATTAATCCACAAAAGCTCTCATTACCATACTGTCGATGATCTGTATTTGATTTATTCCAACCATTTTGAAAACAAACCTCTTCTATTAACACAATTTCCTTTTTCTGTTAGTCAAGACCTCTTATTAAGTCCACACTGTGTTATTCTCCCAAGCAGTACAGCTCATTATCAGGTCACTATCAACATGTACACACTACAAATATTTTAGACATGCAAATGGAAAAGCATACTTGATTCTCTGTAAGTACTACTCCAATAGATTATGAGGGATGCACCACAAAAAACCTTAGGTTTCAATCTTATCTGCACTTTCCTCTAGAACCTGTCCCTTGACTAATTAAATGACAGCCAGATCCATCCAAGAACTGCAAGATTGAATATAAGTTATGCATTAACTGCTAATCCTTTGATTTGGCTTCCTGTTTAGAATTAGAGATCCATCCCGCAGCTCAAGAAACTCATAAATAAAGAAATCTATCAGGCTTTGCTGACACATTGAGTAAACACCTGCAACTGAAGTGTCTTGTTCCATCAGAAGGAAATAAAAGTAATTGGTAACCAATTTGTTTCTGCTTTCTTTCATCTGCTTGTTCTTATCTACAGGTCTTTTCATAACTTCATTCCCTGACAGCTCCCTAAAACAGGCTAAGAAATAAATAAAACATTTAAAAATAAGAGAGCAGATAAGCTACTAAAGAAAGGCAGCACTGCTAGTTTAATATAATTCCTCAATGATTGTTTCTCAGTTTTATTGTAACTGTATTTAAGAATCTTTTACATTAAGCGAGAGGCTGCTTTAAGTATTGCATTAGGCTGGATCTGGCAGCAGAGCAGCAAAGTTAAACTAGTTACAATAAAATCTTATGAATAAGGAAGAGTTTAAACCAAAACCGTAAATAAGTTAAATCCGTCTCTGCTCCTTAAAGGGAAGGAAAGCTGTGAGGTAATAATTCTAAGAAACAGAGTACAAAGAAAAAGACTGGAACCAAACTTCATCCAGTAGGTAATAAATATAATAAAGACACAGTGCTACAAATGAACCTGGAACAGAGCTTTGTAGAGAGAAGAGCTGTTTTTTTTCTCATTTGGCACCAGCTACTATCAATTGCTCTAGTACAATACAGACCATACAGCAGAGTCTTTAAAATGGTATTTTTCGGAAGGCTAAAAGAGTGTGGAGAATCGCTTGCTGAATTCCCTCTGCAATGCCCTGCTCTGAAATGCATGTGCATGAATTCTGATCAAGGCTGAGACTTGTATCCCTGCCAGAGCAATAACCTCTCCAGGACACCGGCACAGTTATTACTGGGACCATTACATAAAAGCCAGACTTTACACAATCAGCTCTGACTTAAAAACATCTAAATGTCTCTGTTCTAAACCGTCTCTTTTATTCCAAAAGTCCTGAAAACCTCTGCACTGTGTGCAGCGTGCTAATTTACGTTCTCATATCGGGATATGGCATGCACAGTAACCACCATTTCCAAGCGACAGCCTCCTTGCTACAGCAAAACTCCAACACAGAGGTGATGGTGGAACCAGGCCAGTGAAAGGGCACCAATGGCCCTTTAAAAACATTAAGTCCAAAGTTTCTCTTGGAAATGAAGGTCTAGCACGTAGCACTGATTTTAATGGTATTTCCTTCTCCCTTCTGTTCCCTCAGCAATGCCTGTGTGCTCAGGAACGTCCTTGGCCCCCTGACTGGCACTCGCAACAGCCAACGCACACAAGTGCTCCGAAAAGGCTTCTTCCAGAAATACAGGCACTTGACATATTAAAACTAGATGTAAGCAAGCTGGGAGTTAATCAGGATTTAAAGCATCTAAAAGCCAAGATGTGGAAGCTGCCTAATAAGGATTTTACTACTGTATTTCCCCAACTTCTGATTAAATGTATAGTTTCACAGGGGATTCAGAATCACATCAGTGTTTGAAAAAAAAAATAAATCTATTTGATGAATTTATATTCATGGGGAAGAACAGCCGAATTAATTTGAAAGATAACCCTCTTTCACCTCCTTTGTTCTGCTCTCTGAAGAAAGGTTCAAATGTAAGGTCAATGAAATATTAAAATATCAATTTTATTTCCTATTATACCTCAGTCTAGAGCCTGTTTTACTAAAAAACACATTGCCTTGAGAATTACCCATTATAGAAAGGAAGGCTTTCGCTCTTGCTGGTTCCTCTGTGCTGTCTCTCAATTTTGCTTCGCAGAAGTACATCCCCACATCAGCAGAGGTTGGGTTGGTGATAGTGAGTCGTCTCCCAAAACTGCTAATGCCACTCGTTATTTTTACTCCATTTCGCTTCCAGGTCATGCTCAGTCTCTCCAGAGGTCTGCCAAGGTTTTAAAAACCCCCATAAAAATACAAAAATAAAACATATATATTACAAAATGGTCTTGTCTGCAGTTATACATACAATTATAAAACTTCTGTAAGTTTTCCTCTATCCCTGACATTCACTATTACGAAATAAATGCATCTATAACTTCTGCACATCGAGACTACAGACTACTCAAGTGACATTATGCAAGTACAGCTAATTGATACAGCAATAGAACTTAAGTGCAAATAATTTGATTTCTCTAAGCAAAAGGAGTAAGTACTGCCATGGGAATCAGCTGCATGGAAACGTTTTCATTGTAACTCAATTAGCAAAACAATATTAACCATATCAAGAACATCTCTGCCCTCAGAGGGCAAAGGGAATCAGTTGGTCATGTTATCATCTGAGGACCTCAACTATTCCCTTTGACTGGAATTCAATGCTATTCAAGGCCAACTAGATGGAAAGGTAGGAGGAATTCTGTGAAATTATGGTGCATTATGAACAGTTCAGCAATAATCACTGTAAAATAAGAGCGTCTGTAACGCAATATTTCATAGGAGATCCTCCCTAATTTATTTACTAGGAAGCACAGACTGTTCAACAATATCACATTTCATGTCAGTAGGCAATACAGCTGAAATATTATTAACCCTTAACATAACTTTTTCCTTACGGGAACGTCTGCTGATTGAACAACACTATACTTCTCCTCCTTACCATGTGAGTAACAGGTGGGAAAGTAACACTGCCTATGTCCTTTATTTGGCCCGAAAAATCGATTTGTTTAATTCAGTAATGTTGGACAAACAAGATTATTCATAAGGTTACTTTGAAGATCAAGCTACACGCTGCATTCTGCTTCCATCATTAAAATAATCAAAAAATGAAAACAACTTCCTACGCCCCCAGTAAAGGACAGTGCATTAAAATTAGTTGCTTATAACCTGGCTGCTTTTACAATACCTTGCACTGGCCACGCACTCCAGCGAGACGTCGCTGCTCCCTGCTACAACGCTCGTGTTCTGCGGAGGGATCACGATGACGGGAGCCACGGTGTCAGACGGGTCTCTGGCACCTGCACGGGCAGAAAGAAACCTTGTGAGGACTCTGAACGTCTGCCAACGGCGAGGACCGACACGTTCCAGGCAAAGGATCTCGTCAAGAGACACAGCTGCGTATTTCCCTCCTCAACCTCGCCATGGATTTTAATCTCATTAAGGGTAGGACCATTCTCGATGGCTTTCATTATACTGTACAAACACTCTGTTTCAACATACCCAGCTTGGGATCATCCAAAACACATAACCCACAAGAGCTACTCCCAGATGGAGTGCAGGGGTCGTTCTCAAATAGAGAGCAAATAAATTAAGCATCCTAAAGGTCTTCTATTGTTGAGCACTTTTTTTTTTTCAATCAAACAGTTGCTGACTTACATTTTTAAGATCTTTTCATGTTTTGTTTAATCTCACCACTTCCATACTATTCAAAAGATTCTGCCAATACTCATGTTAGTTCTTTAAAAAGATTTTACACACTGGGGAACAAATATAAAATTAACAAAGCAGCATATCACAGCAACTTCAATCCCTTTTTCTTATCAGGAAAGTAAATAACCCAAATCTGCTACTCTTTTGTGAGGCATCATACTGTAAATAATTTAGCTTATGCAACAGTCAGCAGACACTTAAAAAATGGTAAAAAGGCTGCTTGTAAATTTTCTCTGTATACATTTAGTAAGTGAATTAAAATACCCATGTATTCATAGGTACTTTGCTTCAAGCAACTCATTTGGGAAAGAAAAATTAGCTATTTTTTAGCTTGAATAACAGAGTAATAAAATTTTCTAAAGATACAGAATCCAATAAAGGAATCATAGTGAAAAGTAATGAAAATAAAACTAAACTGACGTAAAAGCAAGCCAGTTCATCAAATGTTTTCTGCAAAGGAGGCTAAGCCATGCCCATTAAGCAGAATGGGAAACTGGCAAATACAAGATATGAACCCTGATATTCTCTTTTAAGATAATCCCATAAAGAATAGAAAATGGTTAGAAGATTCTTTGCTTTTCTTGTACCTGGCATGCCAAAAGTCATTTGACGTTTAACTTCACTTTTTGGATAGACAGAGGTTTTTGGTAACGGAGCTCAGAAAGTTCACAAATTTCTGAATGACAAGATTTTTATCATTTGACATTTTTATAAGTGATAGCAAATAGTGTACTATGGAAGATGAAAGCATGTAGTATAATTTTAAAATATTACAAATGCCACTCGCTTATCTGAATAAATTCAAGCATCCAAGAATAGTACTTAAGGAAGTCGTAAGCACATATTTATTTCTTAGCATAAATATGCTCTGTTGACCTGACATAGCATATATATATATATGCAACTTGCATGGGATCTCAAAAAACAAGCTTTTAGTAGATTTTACTACTGCTCAACAACATTCTTGGAAATATGATGCTATCAGGTAGTAAATCTACTTTCTACGATTTCCATGGTGGTCTTCTAGGTATTCATGGCAGGAATTTTCCAGACAGTAATTGAAAAAATAGAAAACAGGTGGTGATGATCAGATTAGTAGCTTGTTGCTGATGAGAAGAAATAACCTCAGCATTACTGTTCGCCACTACTTCTGTGCAAAACGAGGGTTTACAACAGTAAATGCTAAAAGATCAACAAACAAGTTATTAATTTGGCAATAATAATTTCTCATCTCCATTTGGAAGAGGAAAACCACTTGTTTGACTTATCCGCTCCCCTGAAGAATGGCTGAACCCCACTAAAACCAGCTGAAGAAGAGAAGTCATCTTTGTTGTAACCTCTAGTTCACGACATGCGAATGGCTCTTTGTGCAGTGAGCAGATAAGCACGGGGGAAAAAAAAGCATGTTACTCCACCTGCAATCAGGAAAACTAAGATTTCTTCGATTTTCTTCCTAACCGTAACAAGAACCTAAACAAAGTATGTCCTTATTTTCATTTTGTACCATCCCTGAAACAAATCTATTAAAAGAGGCTGTTGATAAAGATTTTGAGTAGGTGAACTAATACAGATGTGATACAGATGGCTCATCAAAATGGTTAGGGCCTGGATCCCAGGATAGGATCTGCAGCTACAAAGGTCAGCTGCAGATATAACAAGCATACACAGAAAAGAACAACATTTCAAAGTATTATCTAACCAGCACCCAGAGAGCATGCATTTTCCTATTTCATATTCAAAGACAGTTTTAAGTTTCCCTTTGCAGCAGAAAGAAATCAGTTGCCATAATTCACTCTGGCCCCAGTCCTGCCAACTAAAACTTAACAGGGACATTCCCACGGTTCCTTTGGCAGGGGGTAGTTCGCAGCTTTGTTCTGTGGCTGCTTAAAATATAAATGGAGGAACTTAGTTTTACTTCAGAGTAAAACACTCAATAGGGCTGTAACATGGGTAATACGTGTCCACCCCATCCTTTCAGAACTTCATCCTTTTCTAAGAAATCCACAGGTTGCAATATCAGAGTAGCCAGGCTCCTCATCTAGATAGGGAGTAACACTGTGATTTTGTTTTGATGCTGTGACACAGCAAATCAGACTTCTGTCTGGCTGTGGAAGGTAGAGAGCTATTCAAACAATCAGATAATGAAAAACTACCCAGACTTTCCAAGTTTCTTATCCTACCTGTCAATAAAGCCACTCCATCCCTCTCCTACCTCCTAACGCAGTACACTGACATGATTTTACTTGACTGGTGCTATGCTAAAATGCAATGCAGAATGTCATTGTTAGTAAACAGATATTGTCTTTGAAAATCTTTTGTAGAAAACAATTGTTTTTTTTTTTCTCCTCTTCATTGTTCCTTTTTTACTTCATCAGACTTTTTCTTGTCCCAGTTTTCTAGGTCTCTGCTGTTTCCTTCTGGCTTTTCACCACCTCTTCCTTCCCTGCCTCCCCTCTCTCAGGCAGCTTCTCTGCATTCATCACTGGCCCTTTCCCCTCCCTGCCATCCCATGGTCCCTTATAGACGTTTCACATTGTTTGAGAACTGCCCAATTTCCCATTTGTCCTTTATTTAACGACTGAGCTTCAGTTTCTCTGATTCACACTCATTAGTAGGAAATATTTATTAAAGACACTGAAATGGGTGAGCAGTACGAATACATACAAGAACACAGAGTGAGATGAATTTGCTAACAGGGGACCACCCTTCCCACTGTATTCTGTATTTTAAGACAGAAGAGATCTTTCCTTTCAATCTGCTTTCTGAACCCCTCCTCTCTGCTGAGAAAGCAAAGCAACATTAGGGAAAAACACTGATCCCAGAACTATCCAAAGGAGGCCTCGCTACTAGACATAGTAAGTCCGTGGGGAACTCGTAGGAAGCTGCAGAGACAGGGCTGAACAGCACTGAAGAGCACTTAAGGGACGTGCTCTAAATCTGATTCTAGTCCTTAATAAACAACTGGACAGAAGGATTGCCACAGGCAAGAGTCCTAATTCAAACAGAGTTCTCTCCAAAAAAGAGCAGCTCTGCTTTATTTCACATTGTATCTACTTGAGCCACAGCACTCACAGTGTTTCCAATCTTCCCTTTGCTTCTAAACCTTCTTATTAGACACTATCTTAATTATTACTGGTATCTACCGGGGCTCAGTAACTGAAGTGCCTTCAGGACAAGCCCCAACCAGTCTTTGCAGCTTGACTATCACAACCCCAAAGACTCTGACTCACAAGCAGAGTGCGCTTATCCTGGAACTGGTTCACTGGTTCCCATCCCCAGCTGCTTCCATTTACCACCCAAAATACTGAGGTAGATTGGCACAAGTATTATTTTTCCATATTAGGCTTTTTTAAAAAAGGGGGAAGAGGGAGTAGAGAGAGAAAAAAAATAGAAAAATAGAAGAGAAAAAAAGACAATAAAAAG